CGCTCTTCCCAAGCTTTGAAAACTGACTTAACACTGCCTGGATTTGCCTCATTCAAAGCAGATACCTAACCAAATTATCCAATTATGATCTCATTATTATTTTTTAACAAAAATTATATAGAATAGAGAAACTGTATTTGACGATCAATCTCGGAGAGGCATGTTAAAATTCAATCACAAAGCAATGGAAATAAAGCTACAGAAGCATATCGAAACACAGTGCGATTTGCATCTGCATGTGCATATATGAAATGATGTGAAATGAGGAGAGAGAGAGAACCTTGGAGAGGTCGATGTGCTTGTAGAGAGACCAGTCAGAGGAACAGTCATGGTCTTCACAACTGTGGTCATGCAAGCACGCCATCTTCACTTCTTCACTCGCAACGCAAAATCAAAATCGTCGATTCTTTTCTCTGCGATTTGGTTTAACGCACTAACACGCAACTGTAAAACGACACACTGTTTCCTGATCTAAACGACACACTGTTACCCGGTGCGTTAGCCATTTTATCTGTTGACAAGTGTATTTTCTTTTTCCTGCAAAATTAAAAACATCTTCTAATCTATAGTGATTCATTTCTTTTTGGGCATATAGATTACCAATAAATTCAGCTATTTACTGATGTTGAACTTTTTTTTTTCTTTCTTTAAGCAGAGATCGGGAACCTTATTAATCACGTTATATTTGTAATATATTTTTATTTAATTAAAATTAATAAAAATTATAAATTAAATTCATTAAATCAACACTTATATCTTAAATATGAACTCCTATTTTTTTTTATAAAAAAAATACAAACTCTTATCTTATTCGATAGTGTTTTTTTAATTTTTTTTAACAAAGTTGATTTTAGAAATTCTTTTAAACATTTTATTTAAATTATTTTTCATTTGTTAAAAAATTAATTTTTAATACTTTCAAAATAAATTTGACATAAATTTGTTTTAGAAAATTTTTAAAATTTTTATTTAGTATAATTTTTTTTATTTATCATAATTATTTATAAATTAAATTTTATTAATTTTAAATTAAATTATTAATAATTAAAAATAATTTTGTGTTATAATATTAATTTTTTATTATAAAATTAAAGTATAGTTTATATATTTAAAAGTATCTATTTTTATAAAATTTAAATATAATTTATATATTTAAATTTATTATTTATTTATATATAATTTATTATAAATTTTTGTTATATATAATAAATATCTGTCCACTATACATACTAAAATAGTAACAATATGCAAAACACTTAAATTTGTCACTTTTAATAAAATTTAATATCTATATCTATATATATATATATTGTTATACTTATGATAACGTGTTTATTTTATTATTATAACTTATTGATATTTAGCAGCTCATAGTAGTACTACTACAAGTCTACAACTATTATTAGATTGTTCTGATGACAAAAAAATTGATTACACTTTATATGATGTTTTAAGTTCTATATCTTTATTATAAAGTGAAAATAAAATTTGATGCATCGATTCTGAAACATATAGCCGAAACATGTGTGGATTGGAGAAGCTATTTTTTTAATTTCTTCTTCTAATAAATACTTAAGCAAATTAATAATAAAAATATCAATAAAATGTGTACTTAGTTTTTGTCACCCATTAGTAGTAATGTACCTAAACACATTAGTAGTTGATAAATAATAATAATAATAATAATAATAATAAATTAAAAAAAAACTTAACCCACACATAGCCATGGTGGGCAGGGAATGAATAGACATCTTCTTTATAATTAAAATAGATATTTAGGTAAATAAATAGATAAACAAAATTAGTTACTTGGTGGATTAAATGATTAATACATACATGGTGAGATAGTAACTTTTTTTTTTAGAGGTGGTGAGATAGTAACTTAAGTAGTTCATCTTTTTCAATATTTCAAGAGCTTCGGTCGACCACTACATTCCCATTTCAAGAAAATTTTCTCCTCATACTTAATTAGCCATTTGGAAAGAAAAAATTTCCAAACCTTTTACTCCACTAAAATTTTATCTTATCTTAATTTTTTTTCCGTATATTTCTTTTTTAATCCGAGGACTATATTCATCAACATAAAAAAAAAAACAATAATTTTAATCATATTCGAGAAAAAGATATAAGAATTAAAAAAACTTTTTCTTCTGCTAATAAAGTATAATCAATCACTGTATTATACATTACAAGTCAATGAAGCTATCTTGCAGTTCTTATCATCTACAGTTTATAATATTTGAGGACAATCATAATCCAATTCGGTCATGTTGCTGTTGGGGGACAGCAAATCTGGATTTTCCCATTAGGCCAGGCCCAGTCCCTGCCCCGTTAACAGAAGAGCCCATATATCTTTTAGTAAAATTTTGGAAAGAATCGACTATTGTGATTGGAACTTGGAAGGATTCTAAGGTATTTCGAACACCTTCTCTAATATTTTTTTCTATTATTAATTTAAAATTTGTTATATCCATAAATATCAGCTTATAATAAAGAGTATTATAGTTATGCTAATGACGCTCTCTTTTTCTAAGTTACGTGGATAACAGAATTTGTTGTTGATCCATTTCTTGAGAAGAAATTTAGTTCATAAATGAGCTCTAATATGAAGAATTGATATAATGATAATAATCACGACTAATGGTGCAATTTTGGATTTCATGATATGAGAAAACTTGTTTCATAAATTTGTTTTGCGATAAGTATTTATTTATTTATTTTATGAAAATTTAATTAGAATGAGATATTATTCTATACAAGGTTAGAATTAATCACTAATTTTTTTTTAAGATTTTCAGTGAAATTATGGATCATTTGTTTCATTTTTATCAATTTTTTTATTAAATTATATTTTTAGTCTTTATTTAATTCTTAATATGTAATTTTAATCTCTTTTTTTATTATACAATTTTACTCTCTTAAATTTAAAATTTTTACAATTTTAATTCAATCATCAAATCTACACATGCTTAGAGGACTGATATAATTTTCAATGTAATAGTAGTTATAAAACATGCATGCAATACTATAACATAAAATGCTGCTGAATTTTCACTTTCAATGTGAACAACTTTTTGGAGTCAAAATAGCTAATATATACAAAATTTGATGGTTAAACCAAAATTATAGTTTATTTTTAATTGATATAATTAAAAATATGATGATCAAAACTTCCTGGTTAAAAATTAAATGAGACTAAAATTGAAGAAATTAAAATTAAAGAATAAATAATAATAATTAAAAAAAACTCATTACACTTACCGAGAGCATTATGTTTATGTTTGACTAGGATTAACTATCTCAAAACTTCGATAATATCACATAATCAAAATTAATATCTTTAAAATTATAAAAAAAATGTGATTTTAAAATGATTAACTATATTTAACTAATAAATTTGCATCACTTCAACAAATTTAAAATAAATTTTCATTTTTACAATAAATACATTGAAAATTTATTAATTATAAACACATAAAAATATATAAATAAACACTCAAATTTAAATAATTATATATATATATATATATATTCATATTTATTATATTTACATTCATTTTAGATTTATATATTTCATACAGATAGAACATCTCTGTTATCACTTGGAGAAAAAAAAGAGCGTATCATATTAAATTTTAAGAAACAAATATATTTTAAAACAAATATGACCAATAAAAAATATAACTAATTATCTTTCATAATTTTAATATAAATATATTTTATATAATATTATATATTATAAAAATAATATTTTTATTTATGTACATATATTTTAATATAATACTAAACATCTACCAATAGGGGTTGATCCACGCTTAAGTAAGGTCAGGGAGTCGAATCATGCCTTGTGTATGCAGCCGCGTTAAATCTTGGGGCCAACTATCCCACCCTTTGAGGTACCTCCAACGTAACGAAGAGATTAATCACTACTATCGACGGTGGATACTCTAGGGACGAACCAAAAAAAACATCTGCCAATAGATTATATCAAACTTAAAAAAAAGTCACATTAAATCTTTTTTTTAATAAATAAAATAATATAATTAATTTAAAAAAAATTAAACAAATTATAAGTCTTATTCAAAACAAAAACTTTTCTAATCCAAAGAATTAGACCACTATGTATCATTAATTCTTGAGTCAAACATTTAATAAAGAAAATATTATTTTTATGTTAGTTAAATTTGATATTCTATGCTAATTGTACACTCTTTATAGATATAGTTGTTATAAATTTTTTAAAAAATTATGTTATTTGTAATGATCTGTCATGATTTTTATACTTGACGGTTTAATGATTAACATAGTAGAAGATGATTAATAACTTAGAATTATATGTTTACTAATATTTGAATATGTATTATATCATTCATATGAAAGTGAAACAATTGTACAAACATAATGATATAAATACAATAATCTAATAAAAGTAAACTATACAACCTAAGTTATCTATCAAACAACTCATATTGTTAACTAGCTACTCCAAGGTAGTTCAAAATAACAACACTGTCAATCTCAACGTGACCTCCAAAATAGTTCCCATAGAAAAGCTATCATTATTCTACTTCCATATCAAATATGATTATCACAGTCCATTTACATGGAAACATGTAAGGGTAAGCTAGAGTCTAAATAAACAACATATATACAACACAAAGTATCCACAACATTAAAATATCATCACATCTTCACTGCATCTTCAACACTATCAACATACAACATTACAACACAACCAATATATATATATGCATGAACAACTCAATCTACTATAACACAATATCAAGTTGAACATCACTACATCAACAACTTAAATTATTCATCACAATAACACAATATATACAACACAACAATTACATGCGTTGTCATGTATTTCAACTATGAGATATCCTACAACACAAGATGAGTAATTTAAGTGACTTGACCCTATTGAACTAACAACACATGATGACCTTTTGGGGCTTATTAGATCAACAACATATTGAATATTAATCCACAACACAACAACTTGATTTCTTGAATATCACCACTTAAACAAAGAAGTCTAGTACCACTATTAGGATAAAACAATTGGGTATAAGTCTACCATGACATTAACTACCTTAACTAAGCCATATATGAGATTAGTCTACTAATTACCCTCCAAATATTACACCCTTTAAATACTCAGTTAGAAATTAAGTTATCAACTTTGTACTTTACTTAGTTTGTCACTTGTAATCAGTATAAATAAACCTTGCTCTTATATTGCGGTTGCTTTATACATATGTGTCTTGACCTTGTCCATACACGATACCAACTAAGGTTTTAGAAGAGACTTGATTGTCTTATTTTCAACAAATTGAGCTCTTAATTAGAGTACCACAAAATAATATTCACATAATGGGATATGTAACTTTAAAACAATATCTTCTTTTGTCCTAAGTTGGTCATCACAACTTAACAACATCAATGCCTAAAACATTATCAATATTTATCATTTTAACAACACAACAATGTCATGCATATAATAG